GCCTGGGCTACAAATAGGGCAATGTTAATAGGACTATCCCAGATTTCACTGCCTCTAGCTCTTGTCTTCATGACACAGGAGGTCAGTTTCCCCTTCAAGTTCTGCCTGTTTGTGTTGGAGAATCCTAAAGCTGTTCCGTGTGAATTCATGAATTCCTCTTAGTTTCTGTCTAGAATCTGTGAGGCCATCTGAAGGGGAACTCTAGAACTGCCACCCTGTCCTTCCTAAGAGCCCCAGCATCTAGTTAAGCTGGTGCTCCAGGCTCTACACCTGCAAATCCTTAAGATGCCAAATACTTTTCCTTTCCCTTGGCCTGCTGGCTTTACTCAGACAATACTGGTTGGTCACACTTTTCATAAGGTGCCATATTTTTCTGAAGACTGCTAATAACTCAAACTCATACTTCAAGACTAAAGCCACATTTGTTTACCTGTCGATATATTACCACTTTGTGGCAAGAACTTAAACTTTTGTTTTCCTACCAGCTTTTAAAGGAAATACCTTTCCTAAAATGTTAACTTGGAGGATTGTATTATTTCAGAATTTGGCAGAATGTAAGACTTCTGTAATATTTTTTGATCACAGTAGTTTAAGTTTGCAAAATTTAACTCCCATGAAATTTGATGGCTTTGTGCTTTGTGTGCTGCACAGTAGTGGGGGACATGCCTTTCCTTCACTTTGTATTGCACAAATAGTGCTGTGTGCCTCATAAGAGCAGTTCTTTTAGATTCTGCCTGCAGTTCTTTCTTCCCTAAGACTCGGATCCCCAATTCAGGTGGCAGAGACAGATGTCATGTGGCTCCCCACCCCCATCCCCATTCTAGTCTTCCTGAGGATAGGAAAAGAAAAAAAAAACAACTTTGTCTCCTGTCTGTCAAAACAAAAATATTTAAACTCGTGTGTGTGTGTGTGTGTGTGTGTGTGTGTGTGTGTGTGCATGCATGCGCACACACACATGTGAAAGAGAGAGAGAGAGGGAGAGAGAATGCATGGAGAGAGAGGGTCTCACTCTGTTACCCAGGCTGGAGTACAGTGGCACAATCATAGCTTACTCACTGCAGCCTCCATCTGAGCTCCAGTGATCCTCCCACCTCAGCCTCCCAAGTTGCTGGTGCACGCCACCACACCCAGCAATTTTTTTAAATTTTGGTATAGACAGGGTCTCACTATGTCGCTCAGGCTACTCTCTAAGTCTTGAGCTCAAAGGATCTTCCCACCTCAGCCACCCAAAATTTTGGGATTGCAAGTGTGAGCCACCATGCCCGGCTGACTTTTAGAACTTAATATTAGACAGGCCCAGGTAACAGAATCCATTAGATTTAGGCCAGTGTTAACCTACCTCCACACCTCATACTCATTAAATGTTCAAAAAATATAGAAAAGGAGAAGGAAAAACTAAAATTTTTTTCTGTAGCTATTGAAATCCTCACATAAACTGAGTTTGCAATGCAAATATATGGTCCTTGTTTGGATTCTAGATTAAACAAACCATGTAAGATATTTGGAGGACAATTCCAGAGAGTTGGCTATGGCATGGGTACAATGATACTAAGCAATTACTGGTAATTGTCTAAGATGGGGTAATGAAATTGTGGTTGTAATGAAAATGTACTCATTTTTATATATGAGTAAAATATAAAAGATGGATATTATAAGATTTTGGGGATGAAGTGTCATGTCTTAATTTATATACTTTAAAATAGAAAAAACAAGTATGGCAGAATGTTGACAATGTTAAACGTGGAATTTGGGTATAAGGTGTTAATTTTCTTTCTCTTAGTAAGTTTGAAATTTTAAATCTTTTTTCCCTCCAACCTTGGCAGAGGAATGAAATTTTTTAACTGGTTTTTTTTTTTTGTTTTTTTTTTTTTAAAGTACTGGGTTGTAATCATACTACATATAGCATCTTTTCAAAAAGAAATCAGTTTTGTATTTCACTTCTTTTTCTCTCTTAATCTATAAAAGTAGGTTTCCTTGAAACTAGTGTGTGTGCTATTATATGCTGCTGGAAGTCAGCTTAAAAAGTGGGCCTTAACATTCATCTGTCCCCAGGGTACGTGAAGGATAAGACATACTCTCAGTAATAATAGTGACTCATCACAGCAGTAATTCCTAGAGAGGGTAAGAGTGGAGGACTAAGAAATCCGGGGTAGTGAGCCTGAGTAGTTTATAAGAAGTTGCACAGGTGATTCTAACTGGCTTCTTGTAGGCCACTGGCCTAAAAAAGTAGTGTCAAACTCTAAATATTACAAAACTTCTTTCACAACTGATTTGTTATTTATTTACAGGTTCCCACTCTTTAACTTTAAAAATCATCTCTTACGCTAGATTTTTTTTCTTTTATTTCCAGACTAGAAATTAACCTTATAATGTACCTGGACTCTTAGAAATCGTATTGTGATGCACTATCCATTCCTCTCTCACTTTATCTATAACTACAGGTGTCTGGGGACAGCAGCACTTGTGGTGTGAGTGTTATGTGAGGGCACTCTGAGGTCATCTATAGCCAGCACTAATGTGCTGTTTCCACTGACTTCCCCACAAAGTTGTTATCAGAATCTTTTTCCCTTTGTTTGTGGTAGTCAGATGGCAGAGAATTGACCTGCGTCTAATTCTGTTGATTGATCAGTACGTACGTATATGTTGAGCTCCTACTCCGTGCAAAGCACTGCCAGCTGGAGTTAAAAGGTGAGAGGAAGAATATTTTCCAATCACAAGCAGTTAAACAATATGCAATGACTATGAAGGTTGGAAAGTCATTGGCTGGAGTGTGGATGGTGGAAACATGAATGTAGGAAGTGAAGCCATGTATGACTAAGTGGTCCAGATGTGCCCAATGGTTGGATTGGCCAGAGATTCCTTAGAGCTGCAGTGGAGTCAACACATGCCACCCCCAAGTGGGGAATGGGGCATTAGTGGGCTGGAGTCCTCTTGCACACCAGTCCTTTGTAGATGCTTTCTTAAAGTTGCTTTTCTCTGTGAAGAAAACAAGAGGATACCAGTAATAATAATAAGGAAAAATCATGATTTTAATTGTTTCTTTCCTTCCCTCCCTCTCTTCCTCTCTTCCTCCCTCCCCTTCCTCCCTTCCTTCTTCTCTTTCTTTCAAACTGGGGAACAATAAATGTTAAGTTAAACTAAAAATTGATGAAGAGAAACTCTTAAAAAAGGAATATTAGAACAACAAAAATTCTGGTATATTGTAAATTGTGAATTAATGAGGATTTAAACTATTTCTTTCAACAATAGAATAGAAAATGCTTTTATGCTGTTTTAAAGAGTTGATCATCAGGAAAGAAAACTTGAGTTCAAATGGTACTTGCTGAATTTTAATAATTCTTTTCAAAGTCATTATTACTGTAATGTTTTAAATGACATTCATTTGATCATATACTCATATTTTTATGACCTATATCATTCACTGTAGTTATGTATTTAGGACTTTTCAGGTAATATCATCTAAAAAGAATCAGGCTCATGAAATTTAGGGACCTACATTAGGACTGAAAAACTGTAATGTTAATGAAATTGTCTGCCTCTGCCACCTCATTCCCTTCTTGTTTTTTATTCTGCCTGCTGTAATATCCTCAGTACTCCTTCTTTACTCATCTGGATTCCTTTCTTCTATAAAAATCTGAATTTAGTGAAGAATGACTTCAATCATTTATGTTTTCCCTCACTGTAGGGATAATTTACATTTAATCTCTATCAAAAATGAGGATTTTCTTTTCTTTCTTTCTTTCTTTTTTTTTTTTTTTTTTTTTGAGATGGAGTCTCACTCTGTTACCCAGGCTGGAGTGCAGTGGTGCGATCTCTGCTCACTGCAACCTCTGCCTCCCGGGTTCAAGCGATTCTTCTGTCTCAGTCTCCCGAGTAGCTGGGACTACAGGCTCACACCACCACTCCCGGCTAATTTTTTCTGTTGTAGTAGGGACTGGGTTTCACCGTTGCCCAAACTTATCTCAAACTCCTGAGCTCAGGCAGTCTGCCTGCTTCGACTTCCCAAAGTGCTAGGATTACAGATGTGAGCCCCCATGCCTGACCAAAAACTGAGGATTTTTAAATGTCATTGAACATGAGGTAGAATATCAGGGGGCCTATGGGCCTTCCTTGTATGCCTAAAATAAATTTATAATGAATATGTGTATGCCGTATCTGTCTATTTAACAAAGTATTTACAGCAATGTGCAAAGGAGAAAACATTTGCCTTAGAAAAGTAGAATTCAGAATTCCTGGCTGTTGGTATAGATTTCAACTGAACTTATTTATACAACAAATAGATGTGATCATATGTTTGTATATCTATATAGTAAGCAAAGTGGCAATAAAATAAGAGGAAAACCTAACACCGTTAACACTTAACAGTAGCTATGTGCCATAATAAATGTGTTAATATAATAGTATCTTTACTTATGAAAGAATGCACAGAAGGTATAGATGATTTCAGTTAGCTATTGCCACATGATATTGTGAATAGTTGTAAGCAATAAATTTGCATCTCTTTAAGTATATTTCATGGTTTAGACTTTTAATTTATGTGGTTTTCCTATTCCTGCTTGGTAAATGAGGAATTCCTCTATGTTGAAAAGAGAATCTCAGTTTACATATACCTTTGGGAAGATCATTCTGTTTGATTCAGAATGATTGAGAAAATCATTCCATTTTAATGGTGAACAGCAGACCTGCAATTCTCTACTATTATAAATATAGCTTATCATAACAATGCCATAATGCTTACCTTAAAATGCTTCAAACTAAGTGAGATGTAATGGGAAAATGTATTAAGCTGTGATTTTAACTTAAAAAAAATAGCTTATAGGCATACACAAAATTCCAAAACATAAATGGTATGTAGTTTTTTCCACCCATTCCTGTCTCTAGCTGCCCAATTCCCTTCCTTCTTGACATCCATTGCTCCCTTTCTTGAGTATCTTGCAGAGGTAGCCTGTGCATTCCATTTATTTCTAATATTCATTATTTCAATTATTTATTTACTTTAGATGACTCCAGAATTGATGATAAAAGCATGTAGCTTTTATACTGGACATTTAGTAAAGACTCATTTTTGGTAAGAATGTGATTTTTATAAGCAGTTTCTTCCTCTTTGTGTTTTTATTCTTGATGTTTTTCAGACAAAGAAAAATTAACTTTCGGCCAGTTGTGCTGATTTTATCTATGTAATCATGATTCTACCACTTGATGTTATATATTTCTTTCATATTTAGTCAGCTTTTACTTAGTCAAGATATATATTTTACTTTGATATATAACTATCTTTTCCTAAAAAAATAAAACTTTAAAATTAAAAATGTAGTTTCTCAATTCACTTATCTGAAATCCTTGGAGCCAAATATGTTTTGGAATTCTTTTAAACAAGACATCATTTGGTGATTCTTATGGTAAATTGGAGTTACGACAACATGATTTTATTCCATGATTTCTTTATTTTATCCAAAAAGAAATATGACTGTCATATAATCTCCATTTTTCTCTATAACTATTAGGAATTCCTCAGGTCACACCGAATTTGTAGAAGTTTTTTTGTATGCTGTGGCTTTTGAGATCATAAAGGAGATACCATTCTTTGTTCCTCTTAATTTATTTACTGATATATTGCCCTAACATCAAAAATTTTTTTTAATGTTTTCTGCCTGCAGCACTTGGAGAGACATCACTCGTACAAATGAAAATCTTGTCCTGGCTGATAAAATGAACAGAGCAGTGACATGGTACAGTTTCAGACTTCAAAAATCTGTATTTCATCACTGGCACTCTTATATGGAAGACCAGAAAGAAAAACTTAAAAGTAAATCCTTACATAGCAGCAATTACTTTTTGTATCCATTTATTGAAATAATTAAAATACAGTTAGGCATAGTTTGTATACTTAGAGAACCTATCATTTTTATGTCTAAAGAATTGTCATGAAATGAAGGTAGAGCCACTAATTTAAAAATACTTAAATGAGATTTGTCTCAAAGAACTTTATTTTAATCAAAAACAGGCTTATTAAAAATTAAATCTAGTGTGCATTTGTGAATACATGAATGTAAATAGAATCTACTGTGAGCTTTTTTACATAACAGAGAGCTGGATGGGTACCAAATAATATAGACAGGTAGCAGAATTGAGAGGTTTATTTTTATGGAGAGGTTTATGCTTTTTACAAATATTACATTTAATGTATATATGAGGAAACTTAAAAATAAAAATCATTTTCTCTTAAGACCTTTGGGGTTATACTGAGTGAGTGGGAGGTACCTTCATGTGATCAGTGCCCACTCAGTATAATCTCCAAGAACTCCTGCCTCTGCTTAGATTTTTTTTTTTTTTTGCAGCTCTCCAGATAATAACTTGTTTATGGCTGTTGCAAACCAGAGAATCATTTCTTTTTGACTGGCTGTGGTTGGTACCTCAGTCAGAGTGGACCCTCTGAAGGTTTTAACATTAGTGTAACAAAGGGTTAGGAACTGGTTAATGGTAGGACATAAAATTAAATTCAAAGGCATTGGATCTAAATGCTACCTTATGACTGTATTTCTTATGAAAAAGTTTAGAAGTTCAGGTTTTACAGAGAACAACCTTGTTAAAAAAAAAAAAAAAGAAATGATACATGTCTTGACATTTCTATTGCAGCTATTACATCTTAATTTCTAGGGGCAAAGGTGATTTTCCATGTTAATAAGCTCTGGAGAGTACTAATGCTTTTGTAATTACTAATTACAAAAGTAATTAATTTCAAGTGTAAATAAAACCAAACAAAAATGATCAGATGCAACATTGGCTCATATTATAAACATTATAGAATATTAAATCACTTTGTGTTTTTTTTTGAAATAGCTATAACTATTAATATATACAGTAATCTAGTAAATTTCCTTCAGATATGGTATTGCGGATACAACGGATCATCTGTTGTCACAAGCTAACTGTTATTCTAACAAAATGGCGGAATACAGCAAGATACAAGAATAAAAAGAAAGAAGATGAGCTGGTATTGTATATTGAAACAATTTTTTTAACAATCTGAGTTTTTCAGTTATATTCATGTTGCCTCAAATAATAATGCTGTGTGTGGAAAATACTAAAATCCTGAATATAATGTACTTTTGATGGAATTCTTGTTTTTCTTCTTTTTTTTTTTTTTTGAGACAGAGTTTTGCTCTTGTTGCCCAGGCTGGAGTGCAATGGTGCAATCTCGGCTCACTGCAGCCACCACTTCCCGGGTTCAAGTGATTCTCCTGCTTCAGCCTCCCGAGTAGCTGGGATTACAGGCACCAGCTACCACACCCGACTAATTTTTTTGTAATTTTAGTAGAGATGAGGTTTCACCATGTTGGCCAGGCTGGTCTTGACTCCTGACCTCAGGTGATCCGCCCACCTCAGCTTCCAATAGTGCTGGGATTATAGGCACGAGCCACTGCATCTGGCTAGGATTCTTGTTCTTTAACTTAATAATTTAAAATTTACTTCAGCTATTAGTTTATCATTACTTAATATTGGTTTAGTATGCTCAAAGTAACACTAAGTCAGATGTGGAAACACACTAGATTTTTTTTTTGTAGTTATGTTACTTAGACAATATTTTATAAATATTTTTGAAATACAAAGTAAGGGTAAATAGCAAAGAGAATGTGGGGTGAAGTTAAATCCCCTTCTTTTGTGGTTGCCCCATGGATCAATGCCCTGTCACCTGAATTTAGTTCAGATGTTGAGACTGACAATAGCACACATACACAGCAAAAAAGTATGAGATTTATTACTTACATATGCTTAATACAATCCTAGAGCCCACACTGTGCTTTAAGCATCTCAGAGGTTACTTGAGTTGCTCTCTAGAAGTTTATAATCTATGGGTTTCGAACTGGTGGTCTCGTAGGCTGTCCTGTAGGCTTTGCCTTTTGTGAACTACCTTTTCAATGTTGCCAGTGAAACAGCTCTACTTTGGGTGCCTAACACCATGTTAGTCTGTTCATTCAGTGCTTTATACCACTTTGTATATTAAACTAGTGTTTTGATCACTGCCCTCTATGCCTGATCACTGATTCTCTAGTAGTGAAATAGGTAACTGCATGACCAGTCTGCCCCTGTACATCCCCTTCAGCTAAACATCTCTGAATACAAAAATTAGCCGGGCATGGTGACAGACACCTGTATTCCCAGCTACTTGGAGCCTGAGTCAGAAGACTTGCTTGAACCCTTGAGGCAGAGGTTGCAGTGAGCTGAGATCACACCACTGCACTCCAGCCTGGGCAACAAAAGCGAAACTCCCTCTCAAAAAAAAAAAAAAAAAAAGTCCCTGAGAGCTGACAGTATTCTTAGTCTTCCCATATGGTGAGCATAATGTTTTGCACACAGTAGTTGATATATATACTCTAATAATATCTTTAATATATATGTGTATTATATAGTTAATTTGGTGTTTAGAGAATATTTTCCTTCTAGATACATGATTTATTGACCTAACAATCATTCTACGTTCACTTAAGTGGAGAGAGGATAGCAGGTATATGCTGGGAGCAGAGGCAGGGAACAACTGTGTGTCAAGCGCTCCACATGTGTTTTTTCCTCAAACTCTAACATGTGTGTGTATATACACAACACACATATGTCTACACATATGCAGACACACACACATATATACACGTAAATATTACATCAGTATTGTGTGTACATGTTTATGACTGAAATACTACCCTTATTTATTACACAGTTTTCAGAAGCGTATCAAAAGTTAAAATGGGGTCTTCCTGTGACAATAAATTTGACAATTTCGATTGTGGGGTGGCGGCGGCAGTGGCGGCGACGCTGGGCCGAAAGCCTGAGCGTTCGCGGGGCCGAGGCCATGGCTTTCTGGGCTGGGGGTTCGCCCAGCATCGTGGACTATTTCCCCACCGAGGACTTCTACCGCTGTGGTTACTGCAAGAACGAGTTGGGCAGCCGCTCCAATGTAGAGACGGTGTTTCACCATGTTGACCAGGATGGTCTCGATCTCTTGACTTCGTGATCCACCCGCCTCGGCCTCCCAAAGTGCTGGGATTACAGGCATGTGGGCACATTCCATGACAGTACAGGATTATCAGGATCTCATAGACCGAGGATGGCGAAGAAGTGGAAAATATGTGTACAAACCTGTCATGAATCAAACTTGTTGTCCTCAGTACACAATAAGGTGCCGACCTTTACAGTTTCAGCCTTCAAAATCTCACAAGAAGGTTTTGAAAAAAATGTTGAAATTTCTGGCTAAAGGGGAGATTCCCAAAGGAAGTTGTAAGGATGAGCCCATGGATTCCACAGTGGATGATGCTGTTGCGGGTGACTTTGCATTGATAAATAAATTGGATATACAGTGTGATCTTAAAACGCTCAGTGATGACCTCAAAGAGAGTTTAGAGAGTGAAGGAAAAAACTCCAAGAAAGAAGAACCTCATGAGTTACTTCAGTCACAAGATTTCGCAGGAGAGAAGTTGGGCTCCGGTGAACCATCACATTCAGTTAAAGTTCACACAGTTCCTAAGCCAGGCAAAGGGGCTGATTTGAGTAAGCCTCCCTGTCGAAAAGCAAAGGAAATCCGGAAAGAAAGGAAAAGGTTAAAACTCATGCAGCAGAACCCAGCTGGAGGACATGACGGTTTCCAGGCTCAAGGTCAGCCACCATCTTTGTTTCCAGCAAAGGCTAACTCCAACCAGCCCAAAGCACTTGAAGATTTAATTTTTGAATCTTTACCAGAGAACGCATCACACAAGTTAGAGGTGAGGGTGGTGAGATCATCTCCACCAAGTTCGCAGTTCAAAGCCACACTTCTGGAGTCTTACCAGGCCTATAAACGTTACCAGATGGTTATTCACAAGAACTCACCTGATACGCCAACTGAGAGCCAGTTCACAAGATTCCTCTGCACTTCACCTTTAGAGCAACATGGATGCAGCTGGAGACTATTATCCTAAGAAAACCAACACAGAATCAGAAAACCACATGTTCTTGCTTTTAAGTGGGTTAAACCTTGGGTACACATGGACCTAAAGATGGGAACTATAGACACTGGAGGCTGTGATAAAAGGAAGGGAGTGGGGCAAGGGTTTGTTTTCGACATGAAGGCGGAAGTCCATAAGCTGGAACTGATGTTCCAGAAAGCTGAGTCTGATCTGGATTACATTTAGTACCGGCTGGAATATGAAATCAAGACTAATCATCCTAATTCTGCTGGCAAGAAAAATCCAGTTACACTTTTAAAGGAATTGTCAGCGATAAAGTCTCGATATCAAAGTTTATGTGCACGCTTTAAACCAGTTGCTGTTGAGCCGAAAGAGTCTAAGAGCCGCATTTGTGCTGCTGTGAATAAGACTATGAATGTGACACAAAACCTTCAAAAGCAAACAGACCTGGAGCTGTCACCATTGACTGAAGAAGAGAAAACTGCGCAGAGCAATTAAAATCTCACATGCCAGATTTATGAAGAAATGGACTTGGAAAGGAAACTCTGAAAGAGAAGAGCTCAATTCCAGATAAATTTAGGAATATGTCTTATTAACACTTGATGCCTAGAGGTTGGGGGCTGGTGAAGAAGGTTTGGCATCAATGACTGGATAATGATGCCTTTCATGAGACAAACTGTAAGAAGGAGGACAGATAATATATGAATAAAATTCAGCCAAAAGGGTCAAAAAAGAAAAGAAAAAAGAAAAACTCTCTGTTGGTACTTTGCTTACTACCTGGGTGTTGGGACCATTTGTATCCCAAACCTCAGCATCATAAAGTATACCCATGTAACAAACCTGCATCTGTACTCTCTGAATCTAAAATAAAAGTTGAAATTTAAAAAAAAAAAGTGAAGAAAACAATTTAAAAAAGTGGTTAAAATAAATTTTATGTATGTTTTACTATAAATAAAAAATGTTTAAGCAATAAAAAAAAAATTTGACAATTTCCCAAATACATTACTTCTTTTTTTTCTTTTTTTGTTATCTGTATGTCAGTTACCTTCACTTCATGTACCAAATACCAGCTTTTTAATTGCCAGAGCTTTGACTTCGTTGGTCTCACTTTCTCATCTGTGAAAGAGAGACCAAATCAGCCTTTCAAGGTGACTGCCTGTGCTAGTGTTTTATGACAACTAATGCAAATGATCTGTAATACTTTGGTGGTTCAGAGAACATTGAACATGCTTATGAAAAATTACAATTTATGTGGTAATGATGATCATAAATAATGTTCAATTGGTGCTATCCTTGTGTCAAGCACTGTGCTTTATGTCTGTCATCTCTTTTGACCCTTATAGCAATTCCATGCAATTTTTAAATTATTTTCATTGCAGATATCAAAACATGAGCTTCAATTGAAAAAATGGAGAAATAGGTTACTACTCAGAGGAGCTTCTGCAGAAAAATCCAATTTTCCTGAACAAAGTTCTTCTGAAGTCTCTCTTGTAGATGAGACTCTAGAATGTGACATTTCACAGTTACCTGAAAGAGCAATATTGCAGGTTTGTATGAATTCAGTATACATTATATACTGTAACCCTACTCTTGATGTATTGCATTGAGTTAGAATAAGGATATTTTTGCCCATTATTTCTTCCTTTACAAATTACCTGCTCTTTTCTTGTCTGTTTTTACATTGTAATTCCTATAACTTCCTTATTGGTTTGTAGTAGCTCTTTATATTGGCAATATTAGCCCTCTGGAATATATTTGGAGATTTTTTTCCCCTGTGCTTGATGTTTGCTTTTAGTTTTGCTTGTGGAGTCTTTTGATGATATTTATTTATTTATTTATTTATTTATTTATTTATTTATTTTTCGTGAGACGGAGTTTTACTCTTCTTGCCCAGGCTGGAGTGCTGTGGTGCAATCTCGGCTCACTACAACTTCTGCCTCCCGAGTTCAAGCAATTCACCTGCCTCAGCCTCACAAGTAGCTGAGGTTACAGGTGCTCACCACCACGCCTGGCTAATTTTTTGTAATTTTTATAGAGACTGGATTTCACCATGTTGGGCAGGCTCGTCTTGAACTCCTGACCTCAGGTGATCCACCCACCTCAGCCTCCCAAAGTGCTGGGATTGCAGGCATGAGCCACCATACCTGGCCAATGACAGAAATTGTAGAGCTTTGTGTAATAAGTCTGTCATTCTTGCCCTAACTATTTCTCTCTCTTTTTTTAACTTTGATTTTAGGTTCAGGGAGTACATGTGCAGATTTGTTATATATAGGTAAATTGTGTGTCACAGGGGTTTGTTGTACAGATTATTTTGTCATGCAGGTAATAAACCAAGTATCCAATAGACACTTTTCTGATTCTCACCATCCTCCTACCCTCCACCCTCAAGTAGATCCTAGTGTGTGTGGTTCCTTTCTTTGTGTCTATATGTACTTAACAGTTTAGCTCCCACTTGTAAGCATGAATGTGCAGTATTTGGTTTTCTGTTCCTATGTTAGTTTACTTAGGATAATGGTCTCCAGCTCCATCTAATTTGCAGCAAAGGACATGATCTCATTCTTTTTTATGGCTGCATAGTATTTCATTGTGTGTGTGTGTGTGTGTGTGTGTGTGTGTGTGTGTGTGTGTATACATATATATATACACACCACATTTTTAAAAATCCAGTCCACCGTTGATGGGCATTTAGGTTGATTTCATGGCTTTGCTATTGTGAATAGTGCTGTGATACGCATATGCATGCATTGTCTTTATGGTAGAATGATTGATATTCCTTTGGGCATATACCCAATAATGAGATTGTTGGGTTGAATGGCAATTCTGTTTTATGTTCTTTGAGAAATTGTCAAACTGCTTTTCACAATGGCTGAGCTAATTTACATTTCCACCAGCAGTGTCTAAGCATTCCCTTTTCTCTCCAGCCTTGCCAGTATCTGTTGTTTCCTGACTTTTTAATAATAGCCACTCTAACTGGTGTGAGATGGTATCTCACTGTGGTTTCAATTCATATTTCTCTAATGATTAGTGATGTTGAGCATTTTTTTTGGTATGCTGATTGGTTGCATATATATCGTTTTTTGAGAAGTGTTTGATTATGTGCTTTGCCTACTCTTTTAATGGTATTGTTTTTTTTCTTGTAAATTTGTTTAAGATCCTTATAGATTCTGGATATTTGACTTCTGCTGGATGTGTAGTTTCCAATTTTTTTTTTTTTACTGTTCCGTAGATTGTCTGTTTACTCTGTTGATAGTTTCTTTTGCTGGTAGAAGCTCTTTTGATTAATGAGGTCCCATTTATCAATTTTTGTTTTTGTTGCAATTGCTTTTGGCATCTTCATTATGAAATTTTTGCCGAGTCCTGTGTCCAGAATGGTATTTCCTTGGTTGTCTTCCAGGGTTGTTGTAGTTTTAAGTTTTACACTTAAGTCTTGGATCTATCTTTAGTTGACTTTTGTATATGGTGTAAGGAAGGGGTCCAGTTTCAATATTCTGCATATGGTTTGCCAGTTATCACAATAGCATTTACTGAATGAAGAGTTATTTCCCTGTTTCTTGTTTTCCTTGACTGTATAGATGTGTGACATTGTTTTTGGGCTCTTTATTCTGTTCCATTGTTCTATATGTCTGCTTTTGTACCAGAACCATGTTGTTTTGGTTACCATAACCTTGTAGCATAATTTGAAGTTGGGTAATGTGATGTCTCCAGCTTTTTTCTTTTCACTTAGGATTTTTTTTTTGAGACACAGTCTCACTCTGTTGCCCAGGCTAGAGTGCAGTGGCATGATTTTGGCTCACTGCAACCTCTGCCTCTCGGGTTCAAGTACTTCTCCTGCCTCAGCCTCCTGAGTAGCTGGGATTACAGGTGCATATCACCACTGGCTAATTTTTGTATTTTTAGTAAAGATGAGGTTTCACCATGTTGGCTAGGCTGGTCGTGAACTCCTGACCTCAGGTGGTCTACCCACCTTGGCCTCCCAAAGTGCTGGGATTACAGGCATGAGCCACTGCGCATGACCCACTTAGGATTACCTTGGGTATTTGGCCCCTTTTTTAGTTTCATATGAATTTAAAAATTTTTTTTCTAATTCTTTGAAAAATGTCATTGGTACTTTGACAGGAATACCATTGAATCTGTAAATTGCTTTGGGCAGTATGGCCATTTTAACAATATTGATTCTTCCTGTCCATGAGCATGGATTATTTTTCCATTTGTTTGTGTCCTCTCTGTTTTCTTTCTTTCAGTGTTTTGTAAATCTTGTTGTAGAGGTCTTTCACCTCCTTGGTTACCGATATTTCTATTTATTTTATTCTTTTCTGTGACTCTTGTGGATGAGATTGCATTCTTAATTTGGCTCTCAGCTTGGATATTTTTGGTGTATAGGAATGCTACTGATTTTAGTACATTGATTTTTTTTTTTTTTTTTTTTTTTTTTTTTGAGACAGAGCCTCACTCTGTTACCCAGGCTGGAGTGTAGTGGTGTGACTCTGGCTTACTGCAACCTCTACTTCCCGGGTTGAAGTGATTCTCATGCCTCAGCCAGCCAGATAGTTGGAATTCAGGCATGGGCTACCAAACCCAACTGTTTTTTTTAGTTTTAGTTTTTGTTTTTTTGGAGACGGAGTCTTGCTCTGTCGCCAGGCTGGAGGGCAGTGGTGCAATCTCTGCTCACTGCAACCTCCGCCTCCTAGGTTCAAGCGATTTTTCCATCTCAGTCTCTGGAGTAGCGGGGACCACAGGCATGTGCCACCATGCCTGGCTATTTTTTGTGCTTTTAGTAGAGACAGGGTTTTGCTGTGTTGGCCAGGCTGGTCTCGAACTCCTGGCCTCAAGTGATCCACCTGCCTCAGCCTCCCAAAGTTCTGGGATTACTGGCATGAGCCACTGTGCATGTACAGTGATTTTGTATCCTAAATCTTTGTTGAAGTTATTTATCAGATCAAGGAGTTTTTGGGCAGAGACTATGGGGTTTTCTAGGTATAGAATCATGTTGTCTACAAACAGTGAGTTTGACTTTCTCTCTTCCTTTTTGGATACCTTTTATTTCTTTCTATTGCCTGATTTCTCTGGCTAGGACTTCCAGTACTATGTTGAATAGGAGTGGTGAGAGAGGGCATCCTTGTCTTGTTCTGATTTTCAAGGGGAATACCTTCAGCTTTTGCCCTTTCAGTAGGCTGTTGACTCAGGCCTGTAATCCCAGCACTTTAGAGGGCCAAGGCTGGTAGATTAGCTAAGGTCAGAAGTTTGAGACCAGCGTGGCTAACGTAGTAAAACCCTATCTCTACTAAAGAAAAAAAAATAGCCAGGTATGGTGGTACACACCTGTAATTTCAGCTACTTGGGAGGCTGAGGCACAGAATCACTTGGACCCAGGAGGTGGAGGTTGCAGTGAGCTGAAATTGTGCCACTCCATTCCATTCTGGGCCACAGAGTGAGACTCTGTCTTAACAAACAAAAAATGCCTGGGTATGGTGGCTCACCCTTGTAATTCTAGCACTTTGGGAGGGCAAGGCGGATGGATCATGAGGTCAGGAGTTTAAGACGAGCTAGACCGGCATGGTGAAACCCATTCTATACTAAAAATACAAAAATTAGTTGGACGTGGTAGCCCCATGCCTGTAATCCCAGCTACTTAGGAGGCTGAGGAAGGAGAATTGCTTAAACCTGGGAGGCGGAGGTTGCAGTAAGTCGGAATTGCGCCACTGCACTCCAGCCTTGGCAGCAGAACAAAACAAGACTCTGTCTCCAAAAAACCCCTCAGAACTCATTAAAATTAAAACAACAGCAAAAACCCAAAACAACCGAACCCAACACACACACACACACACACACACACACACACACACACACACACTTAAACAGAAATCCTGGAACTGAGAAATGCATTTGTTGAACTGAAAAATGCATTACAGGCCTTGATAGCAGAATGGATTGAGCAGAGAAAAGAATCAGTGAGTACAAAGACAGGGAATGTGAAAATATGTAGTCAAAGGAGAAAAAAGAAAGAATGAAAAGGAATGAAGAATGCCTATAAGATACAGAGAATAAACTCTAAAAAGCAAATCGCTGAGTGATTGGCATTCAAAGGGAGTTGAGAAACAGCAAGGGATAGAAAGATTATTTAAAGAAATAATAACAAAACTTTCGAAACCTAGAGAAAGATATAAATATCCAAGTACAGGAGGGTCGAGATCACCAAATAGATTCAACCCAATTAAGACTACCCCAGGGCATGTAATAAACTCTTAAAGGTCAGGATAAAGAGGATTCTAAAAGCGGCAAGAAAAAAGAGGGAAATAACACATAAAGGAGCTCTGGTTTGTCCAGAAACAGCAAACAGTGGAAACCATATAGGCCAGAGGGGAGTGGGACAGCATATTCAAATTGCTGAAGGGAAAAAACCTGCTGAATGAGAATACTCCATTCAGCAAAGCTTTCTTTCAAACATGTGGAAGAGGTGGTCTTTCCCAGACAAACAAAAGCTTAGAGAATTCATCAACACCAGAGGCATCTTACAAGAAATACTAAAGGGAGTTCTTCAGTCTGAAAG